GCCCTGCTTTTGGTGGGATCGGGAAGGTGTGGTGTATTATGAGCTTCTAAAACCAGGTGAAACCATTAATGCTGATCGCTACCAACAACAAATAATCAATTTGAACCACGCTTTGATCGTGAAATGACCAGAATGTGCCAGAAGACACAGCAAAGTAATTTTGCTTCATGATAAGGGTACTGACTGGGTTTATTTAACCAGAGGTCCTTGCAGTTCCAGCCAATTACCTCGGTAATCCCCTTATGGAGTAGGAGTAGCAACCCCCCCACCCCCACCCCCTTTTTTTAAAGGGTCCAGATATTGATTACGTGAGCAAGTGTACTAAATTTGGAGGAAATTTCACAGGCCATAGGTACTCAACAAATACTAGTCTCTCTCAGAATGTATTTTCAACAAATGGACGGTAGATAACAAGGCCTCCGGGCAGACCTCTGGGTGGTGTTCCTGAGGCTCCCCTCGAAGGCAAAGCTCTGGAGCTGCCTAAACGGGGGAAAGGCGACCAAACGAGTCCCTCTCTACACGTTCGGGCGTCCAGGAGCCTCCGGATGGCCGGGGAGGAGGCAGTGTCTGCCTCTTCAAGTTCGGGCCGCGCCTATTACCTGCGACAGGGCTCGTAATAAGGGACGGCTATGGCGTGTGAAGCGGCACACCTAGTAGCTCCTACGTGAAGGACCAGACGTAGAAGGAGCGCCTGAGGACCGACCTTGGGGAATGCCTTGGGAGGACAAGGGTGGACATAGCGGTTAGCCTTCCCACCTCGCGCCCGGCGAACTGACCCGGCGAGGGGAGTGAGCACGCTTGCGCACTGGCCCTCAGCCGTCAGTAAAAAGCCCGGCGCGAGATACCGCGCGCGCGCACTCGCTCTCGAAAGGCAAAAAAAAAGTCCTTCCCTCGGGGCCCGCGGTAATTTAGACCGGAGTTGGCCGGCGAACACGCACAGATGTCCTTCGCCGCCGCTCCACTCCTTTGGGAGTCTAGCGCTGTGCTGTCCCCGCCTTTCCCCAGGCACGCGTTCTCGGCGTAAGTACCTCGCGCCTAGCGGAGAGGGAGGGAGAAGGTCCGCGGAAAAGAAGGAGGCGGACGGGGCTGGAAGAAAGGGAAAAACCTCCCTCGCGAAGTGAGGAGCGTGGCAGCCGGGTTGGAATCTGCAGAAAATATGCCTCTATCCCTCACTCCGCTAGGGGCTGCGGAAGTGCTCTGAAGGTTGGCGCGGCGGGGAGGCGACAGGTGGACTACCATTCCCATAAGGCGACGCGGTGCTGCGCCTACGCTCCCGCGGCACCTGCGCGCCAGGCGTTTTTCAGTTTGCTGCCGCCTAGGGCGAAACTACAGTTCCCAGGAGGCTCCGCGCGAAGCGGCTTGGAAGTGGGCAGCCTGGAAGTCACTCGGGCCACCGAAGCTGGCGGCGTCTCTAGCGGACAGTGCGGGGTCGGACGCCGGGGTCGTGGGGCCCGCGAGGCGGGCAGCCGGACGCCCAGGTACGTGGCTCTAGGAGTAGGGGCGGCCTCACTTAAGGATGGCTGGGAATCGGTGTCTATTGGAGCGCGAGCGGGAGTGCTCTGAGGGCTGGCGGCCGGCCGGGTGTGGGCACCAGTTTTTGGGGCGGCGGCGACAGGACTCGCGTCCTCCGAACCTGGAAGAGCTCGTATCCGCATGGCTCAACTTTCTAGACGTGCTACCCGGCGCTGTGCGGAAGAGCATGAAGTGGGAGTCGGGGTGCAGTGGGTTCGCGTCCTGGCTCTGCCACTCCCCGGAGCTGCGATCTAGGGAAACCGTGCCGAACCTCAGTTTCCCCTTTCGGTAAAATGGGGGGAGAAGACGATCTGCCCTTCGCTGGGAATTCTTTTAGGATGTTGAGATCTGGCGAGTAAAGCGTTTGGCACACAGAGGGCACTTATTACGTGTTTGCGCTATTGTTAGCTCCGGAGAAATGGGGTGAAGGTGTTAGCAACCGCATAGGATTAGTTGAGGGTGTGCGTGTGAAAAGCGGAGTCCATAGTTAGCAGTCAGTGCAGAGTTGGCTGAAATTATTTTGTTAAGAGCTTTGGTTTGGGAGGCAGAGAGACCCTAATTCACATTTAGGCTCTTCCATTTACCAGCAGTGCCACCTTGTGAACTGACTCCACCAATGTGTGCCTTGGTTTTCCGATCTATAAAATGGGGATTTTAATAGTCACCTCATAAAGTTGTTTTGAGGATGCAATGTGAATACCATGTGTAAAGTGCGTAGAGCAGCACCTGGCACATAGCGTTCACTAAATGGTCCCTTTTATTCAGCGTTTTTCCAGTGCCCCAGAGACACTTTGAGGTTTGGGCTCTGGCTATAGCCTTGGTCTCCCCATTGGGATAGATTCACAACTGGTCTAGGTTACTTCCTGTCCTGCAGCCTCATGTTCCTCATTTGTTATCAGCCTCAGAGGGTTGTAAGGATTTGCTGAGGTTGTATTCTCTCACTAAGTCACAGCTCTTATGTAGAATAATTGTTTTTCTTCAGTGTTCTCCATCTGGTCCAGAGGCTGCCTGACTGTGGGCTGTGACATGACAGCCCTGAGCTCCTCCCCACATTCACTTCCAGCCTCAGTATCCCATCTGTGAAGTGGCAGTCATAGGACTTTTGAGCCAGGCTTGTTTTGATGATCTCAGGAGATAATTAATGTTTAGTGTTAAGCACCGGGCCAGGTGCATAGTAAGCACTGAATGTATCTTGTTTTTCTTTTTCTTTTTAAAACATACATTTTATTGATTTTTTACAGAGGAAGGGAGGGGGATAGAGAGTTAGAAACATAGATGAGAGAGAAACATCGATCAGATGCCTCCTGCACACCCCCTACTGGGTATGTGCCCACAACCAAGGTACCTGCTCTTGACCTGAATTGAACCTGGCACCCTTCAGTCCGCAGGCCGAGGCTCTATCCACTGAGACAAACTGGTCAGGGCTATCTTGTTTTTCTTGATAGACCTTTATTGCTGCTTCATTGGGCAGAGCAGAGACAAGGTTATTGCCCCCCTCACTCCCTCATTTTTGTTCACTAAAGGTTAAATTATGGAACATACTGCAGTATAAGGACCTGAGAAGAGATGGTGCTGACCTGCTATCAACAGCCTCCTGCTCATTCATACACTCTTCCCGCAAAGTCAGCACATTCATTCCAGTGTTTTACGACCATCCCAGTTCTGTCAGCACTTTGTTTCAAAATTATACTAGCCCACTGAGCTCCTTGATGCCTGTGTTTCCTTGATGTCCCCTGGTGACTTGTCCCTTGGGTACTATGAACTCATCATGTTCAGTCTAAACCTCTTCTCCCAGAACCAGTAGTCACCATCTTGGCAAATGGGCCAACATTGACCCAATTGCCCAAGCCAGAAACTTGGAAGTTGCTCTTCTCTCCCAGCCTTCCCAGGTCTAATTGATTGGCAAGAAGGATTGAGCTGCCATTTCCAGGAAACATCATTTCTTTGGTCAACCTTGGTTTCCCATCTCATGGACACTGAAAGTCCTCCTGGGCCACTGGTGGCCTTTTCCGATTAGGTTGAGTTGTTTCTTTGAAGTTGCCAAGGATTAATGTATGTGCAACATTGTATTAGTGAGGAACAAAGAAGACAATATAGATTTGGCCAGACTGCAATGGCAACAGGTGTGGTGTCAAGGCTTTGCTTTCAGGGGACCCACTTCTACAGTTTTAGCCTGGCAGAGCTTGTCTGAATTGTTCATTTCTTTCTAAAAAGTCATACCTTGTCAGCAAGTTAGAATATTCTGTATGGGAAGGTGGCCCTACTTAGCATTTCAGGAGGCAGCACACTGGAAACAGACTGGGAAGGGAATTTATTAGATGCCCATTTAGGTTGAGCCTGTTGTCAGAGACCCATTATTGGGAACCCGTGGTTTCAATTAAATTTGTAATGGCCATCAAATTTACCTAAATGTTTTTTAATCTGAGGAAATAAAGCAGTGACATTTAAAAAAATTTTTGTTCTTAATTATTAGGGACAACACATGGTTTTTTTAGCAATTTGTGGACTGGTCTAAGATTTAAATGTGAGCTTGTTTTTCAGACATTGCAGTTGTTAGGTAAGTAAAAAAATGGAATTTAGAAGTTCAGTAATTGGTGTCCTTTTTCTGTAAAGCAGATTGTGCTGATATATTTCAGAGGTTTAAAAAATGACCCAGGTTATGGTAACAGCTTAACCTTGTTATGTGTTTAACTCACAAAATCTGAATTAATTTTTTTTTAAATTTGCCAAATCATTTTATTTTCTTATTTATTTGGTTTGTTCTTTTTTGTTGTTAACCCTCACCTCAGCATATTTTTCCATTGATTTTTTTAGAGAGAGTGGAAGGGAAGGGGAGGGACAGAGAGAGAGAAACATTGATGTGAGAGAGACAGATTGATTGGTTAACTCCTACATGAGCCCCAACCAGGGTTGGAGATCAGATTGAGCCTGCAACCGAGGTACATGCCCTTAACTGGAATCACACCCAGGACCCTGTAGGCGCAGGTCGATGCTCTCTATCCACTGAGCCAAACCAGCTAGGATATGTGTTTGTGTTTTAATAAAAGAATTAAACAGTCATTTCCTTTAAGGTAAAGTGGTTGTTTTTAGCTTTCCATAAGACTGGTATTGCTCCTGTTTCTTAGGACTGCTCTACTCATGGCCTTAATTTATGTGTGTGAGAATGGGTAGAATTTGACTTTTAAAAAGTTATGCAAAGAAATACATGCTCATTGTAATACTATGTCAAACAATACAGAGATGTATAAGGAAAATAATGGGTGCCACCCTCCACTCTAGTTTCCCTCCTTCAGGGAGAGCCATTCATTCCAATTCCAACAGCAAGTATTTATTAAGTGTTTATTGTTTGGGTTTGGAGATTTAGCAGTGAACAATATGGATATGCACTCTGCCCTTGGGGATTTGGGTGGATTCGCTTTCCTTATTCTGTGCTTAAAGGGATGTATATGTGCATTATTGATTGTCTGCGTGTCTCCCTCTCACTCCCCAAAAGGAGGGTGGGATCAAGTCACATATATTTGTAACTTGAGTTTTTCGATTACTGGCAGGGCATCTCCCTTAGTCGGGTTACACACAGACCCGACTCATTCTTTTAACTGCTAGACTCACGTTCTTCTCACCATTGAGAGACCATGCTTTATTCCACCCTTCTTCTGTTGCTGGATATTTAGGTTGTTCGGGGGGTTTTACTTTCATAAACACATCCATTGAGCATCCTGGTACATAGGCAGTGTAGCATGGTGGTTAAAAGCACAAATCCTAGTCAGGGAACAAGACAGACAAACTCTTTGCTCTCCTAGGGTTTATATTCTAGCGAGGGAGACAAAATAAGGTAATTTCAGATGGTTTTAAGTATAGTGGGTGAAATGAGATGGGGAGGGTCTAGAGCAGTGATGGTGAACCTTTTGAGCTCGGCGTGTTAGCATTTTGAAAAACCCTAATTAACTCTGGTGCCGTGTCACATATAGAAATTTTTTGGTATTTGCAACCATAGTAAAACAAAGACTTATATTTTTGATATTTATTTTATATATTTAAATGCCATTTAACAAAAATCAACCAAAAAAATGAGTTCGCGTGTCACCTCTGACACGCGTGTCATAGGTTCGCCATCACTGGTCTAGAGCATGGATGATGGCGCAAAGCTTGTGGTGAGGAAGGGATGGTTACTTCAGCTTGGATGGTCAGGGAAGGCACATGAGCTGAGAGACTGGAATGAACCAAGAGCTGGGAGTGGAACATTTCAGGCAGAGGGAGCAACAAGTGCAAAGGCAGAGAGATGGAAATGAGTTTGCTGCAAAAACAGCGTTACTGTGGCTGGAGAAGAGCAAATTCCTGTTTTCCGAGTTCGTACTACTATAATTTTGCAAAAATAATGATAATAAAAGCATCTAACGTTACCTAATGCATACTCGGTAGTAGTCATTTTTCTAAGCATTCACGCTTTTCCTCAGTTAGTTCTCAGGAATCAATGAAGTAGGTAAGTATATAGATCTTGCTTTACAAGTGAGGAAGCTGACTCCAGACTCCTTCACACTCATGCCTAATCCCTCTCTTCCCAGGCCCTCTCCAATAGGCTGAGACAAGTTTAGGAAGTGGAAGGAGCATTTCCTCTACATGTTGTTTGACACCTGTAGGCTATATCTAGTACCTAACTTGTGGCAGCACGAATGGTTTGAGCGTTGTTTCCTCTGACAATAAGACACAGTGGGGTCAATTTCTGTTGGAATGTTTGGTTGCTTCAAAACTGAAGGCCTGCAGCAGAGCTTAGCCTCAAAACAAGGTTGATTGCTTGGCTACTGCACCAGACATAGGTGAACAGGAAACAGGGCAGGTGTCAAAGGAGAGTTAATAAGGTAAATGCTCCATTTGGGTGAGATTTGCAAGGTTACTTGGGCTGGCAGGGGAA